ATCTGACATTTATGGCACCTCTTCACAAATTGATAACAACCAAATTCCATTGTCAGCCAATAGTAACCTGCTCTGAGCATCTTTTTAGCCATATAATATCAATTAGCATGAGTATCAAAGGACCCTTCATTAACTCCTTGCATCAACATGTCTGCTTTGTGTCTATCCACGCATCTGAGCAAGATCATGTAAAAATTTCTCTTGTACAATACCTATTCATTGAAGAAGAAATTGCCAGCTAATCTTCTCAAAGTCTTCTTAACTTTATTGGATGCCCCAGGTGGGTACTCCTGACTTTGAAGGAAACATTTGATATCATAGTACCAATGTTTACTGTCTGATACTTGTTATGCTGCAAACACATAAGAAATTATATCCAGGCGTTTGATTGTGATCTGAGGTACCTCATTGTGGAAATTTACTCGGTACATGGAGGACAAGGTAGCCAGAGCATCTGCCAACTGATTCTCTTCACGAGGTATATGATGAAACTCTACTTCGTTAAAGAAAGACAACAACCTCCTAGCATAGTCTTTGTAAGAAATCAAACCCGAATGTCGAGTCTCTTATTCACCTTTGATCTGGTTAATCACTAGAGTTGAATCTCCATACACATCAAGGATTTTAATCCTTAGATTAATAGCTTATTCAAGACCCATGATACATGCCTCATATTCTGCCATATTGTTCATACAATCAAAACATAACCTTGTAGTGAAAGGAATATGAGAACCTTGAGGAGTAATTATAACTGCCCCAATTCCATTACCATAGGCATTGACAGCTCCATAAAAAATCAAACCCCATCGGGATCCTTGCTTTGATCCTTCTTCAAGCAACGGTTCATCATAATCTTTAGCTTAAAGGTACATAACACCCTCATCAGGAAAGTCAAACCTGATGGATTGATAATCTTCAATTGGTTGGTGAACCAAATGATCTGCTAACACACTTCCTTTAATGGCTTTCTTAGTACGGTACTCAATATCATAATCAGACAACAACATCTGCCAACAGGAAATCCTTCCGGTTAATGCAGGATTTTCAAAATTATACTTGATTCGATCCATTTTAGATATCAACCAAGTGGTATAATTTATCATATATTACGGGAGACGCTTAACAACCCATGCTAAAGCACAACAAGTCTTTTCCAGCAGGGAGTACCGAGACTCACAATCTGTGAACTTCTTACCCGAGTAGTAGATGGCATTGCTCCTTTCTATATTTTTCATCTTACCGTCCAAAGACACAACCCATGGACCCTTCTAACACAATCAAATACATAATCAAAGGTCTTCCATCCACCGGAGGGATCAGAATAGGAGGCTCAAGCAAATACTCTTTGATGCTATCAAAAGCTTTCTGATAATCTTCAGCCCAAACACAACCCTGATCTTTATGCAACAACTTGAAGATTGGCTCACAAGTGCAGTCATGTGAGATATAAACCTGGATATATAATTTAGACGTCCTGAATGACTCTAACTTTATCAGGGTCTACCTCAATACCTCTCTGGTTAACAATAAAATCCAAAAACTTTCTTGAACGGACACTAAAATTACATTTGTTCGGATTCAAGCAGAGTCTATACTTTCTCAAACGTTGAAACAGTTTCAACAAATACTCAACACGACACTCCTCAATTATGAACTTAACAATCATATCATCAATATTTATCGTATAAATTAATATAAAATATATTAATTTAATATAATATATTCAAATATTATATTATGTTTTAAAAATAATCTAACATATTTTTAAATAAAATATAAGAGATTAATTATTATACATGTCACTATATTTTTAAATCTATGTGCAGATTCCGATCCAAATGAACAACGCTCGATAGACATAAGTAACTCATTCAAGACTTTGGGTTCATTCTTTCAACACTTTGCTGAGTGTGCCAACAACACAACAATGTCGCTTTTAAGGTCCTTCAGGTACGCTGTTTCTGTTTCAATCCCTAATTCCCATCCTTTTCATTCTTCAATTTCAAAACCATACTCTCACTCTCTTCAACAATTTACTCATCATGAAGTTGATGTTGTTTCCTTGTTCAATCAAATGCTTCATAAGAAACCTACCCCACCCATGATTCAGTTTGGCAAGATTTTAGGTTCCCTTGTGAAGACTAAACATTACCCCACAGCTGTTTCCCTTTGTCAGCAAATGGAATCAAATGGACTTTATCCTGATTTTGTATCTCTCAAAATCCTCATCAATTCTTTCTGTCAATTAGGTCATCTAACTTTTGCTTTTTCTGTATTGTCCAAAATTCTCAAGAGGGGTTACCAAATAGATACTATAACTTTGACTATTCTACTCAAGGGTCTCTGTCTCAAAGGCCACGTTTATAAAGCGTTGAACTTTCATGATAAGGTTGTAGCTCTGGGATTTCATTTAGACCAAGTTAGTTATGCGACATTGATCAATGGGTTATGCAAAGTTGGCCAAACAAGAGCGGCCCTAAAAGTGCTGAGACAAGTTGATGGGAAACTTGTTCAACCTGATGTGGTAATGTACACTACAATTATTGACGGTTTATGTAAAGATAAAAATATTATTGATGCATTTGATTTATACTCTGAAATGGTTGCCAAAAGAATTTCTCCTGATGTTTTCACTTACAATTCTTTAATCTATGGTTTTTGTATTGTTGGTCAATTGAAAGAAGCTATTCATTTGTTCAATAAAATGACATTGAAAAACATAATCCCAGATGTGTACATATTTAGTACATTGATTGATGCTTTTTGTAAGGAAGGTAAAGTGGAAGAAGCTAAAATAGTGTTGCCTTTGATGATGAAAAAGGGTGTTGCACTTAATGTTGTTAGTTATAACACTTTAATGGACGGATATTGTCTGGTAAATAAAGTGAACAAAGCCATGGATATAATAAACATTATGTCTCGAAAAGGAGTGGTCGCTAATGTCTGGAGCTACAACATCCTGATTAATGGACTTTGTAAGGTTAAAATGGTTGAAGCAGCAATGAAGCTCTTTGAAGAAATGCATTGCAAACAAATTTTTCCTAATACGGTAACTTACAATACCCTTATAGATGGTTTGTGCAAATCTGGGAGAATATCACATGCTTTGAAACTTGTCGGTAAGATGCATGATAGAGGTCAACCACCTAATATAATTACTTGTAATTCTATATTGGATAGTTTATGCAAAAACCATCACGTTGACAAGGCAATTGAATTGTTAACAAAATTTAAAAACCAAGGTATTCAACCAAATGTGCGCACATACAATGTTCTTATCAATGAATTGTGCAATAGTGGAAGACTAAAGGATGCACAAAATGTTTTTGAAGAGCTTTTGGTCAAAGGCTACAATCTAGATGTCTATACCTATAATGCTATGATCAAGGGATTTTGTATCAAGGGCTTGTTTGATGAAGCACTGGCCATGATGTCAAAAATGAAAGATAACGGTTGCATTCCGAATGTTCTGACTTATGAGATAATGATTTATTCTTTGTTGGAAAAAGATGAAAATGATATGGCAAAGAAACTTCTTCTTGAAATGATTGCGAGAGGCCTATCGTACTGCTGATACTAGGTAAGATGTTTTTATACTCATACATTATTACTACTTTGAATTTATGTTTCAATATCATTTCATCATTTCATTTATGTATACAGATGCTTCACCTCTTGGGGAAGAATGTTTTAGTTATTATTGTTTCTTTTGGCAAGTGTTTTTAAACTTCACAAACTGATAGATTGGTGAGTTCTAACTTGAGGGAAATTGGTAGAATATTAAAATTACTGTTGTCTTAGGAGTGTTGTTGGGTTGAGTTTGTACTAATTGTATGAAACTTTAGCCTTTTAACTCACGAATTTAGATGCTATATGTTCTTAGTTGTTTGGTAATGAAATGTTTCTCTATGACTTACCATATCATTGACGATTTTCTTGTTCTCAGTTGATTGGAATTTGTTGATTTCTTGACTCTTTATGTCAAAGACAATGTATACAAGAAAGGATCGAGGGTTAAGATTTTGACGCACAAATTTATGCAGTTGATTTTCGAGTCTGTTTTATTTTCTTTACATTGAAAAATAGGAACTATTTTTCCTATCAATCATTTTGTAGAATGTTGTCTACTCAATATTAGTTTTTGTTATTTTATAATAATATTTAGTTGTTGATGAAGCATCTGTTCTTTCAAGTCCTGTGATGGTTTTAATTTCACTTTCTTCTAAGAATTATGCAATGGCAAATCTATTGTTTTAATATATTATGATGTGAATGATAATTTGGAGGATGCTAACAATGAGTTGATTCTCACTGATGAAGAGGTTGTTCAGTTTTTACGCATGTGCCTGAGGATGAAGTTGAGATGATGATAGAGCAGATGCAAGAGGTGACAAGCAAGAAATTGGAAAAGCTTGAGGAAGAGAATCAATATGTGGTTGCTTAGATGTCGATCGAAACTGAAGAAAATTTTGCATGGAAAGTTCAAAGACTCGATCAATCTTGAGTAGGATTAGTAACTTGTTAACAGATTTATAGGCTTTTTGAGTGGTTAATATGATCCCATAGACAAAGTTAGTAAAGGTGACTGATGCAAGCTGGTTAACTACAGTATAAAAAGTGATACAATGGAGTATATATAATAGTTTCAGATTCATTACTCATCTCTCTTTCTTCTTTCCCTATTTTCTCTCTCTTTTTAAGTGGGATCTAAGCAAGTATTTTCTGATGCAATGTTACACACTAAATAAGTATGGATGTTGAAGCCGCTATTCACATTTATGTCTTTGCTTCTAGGACTTTGTCCTCTGTAGGTGTATCTTCCATCTTTTCATACATATTTTAACTTTCAAAATAGATTTATATTCTTTTGTGGATTGTTAAGGATAGTATGAATTTCAATTTCCATATGTTGTTAATTTGGATTTCAAAATCCAAACACATACTAACACAACTTTTTTTCTTCACTTTCATAACTAACACAACTTTATGATGGTATCGATTTAGTCCTCACAATCCACAAAATCATAGTTGATAATAAGATGACCCTGAGCATCCCCATTTCCATCCGAATCAAGCCTCCGAAACACACTAACCTCTAAATCTAAGCCCTCATTATGGTACTGGTCAATAATTCTTACTATTTCCTCATCTCCACTTTTAGTGTTTGTCACCTAAACCCAAAACAAAACATTAAACCAAATGCTTTAACTTCTCCAGCAAGAAACAACACAAAAATGAAAGAAAAACACAACATATATCATCATACCTTCAAGCAACGGCCACAACAATCGGGGCCTAGAGGCCCGACAGGTCCACAGAAAGCAGTCCAACCATATTTGCTACGCCATGACAAAGGCTGGTTTGCATCTCAAGCGGCGCAAAATGCACTTACTGCTAGTAAGTCCCAGTTATGCTGTTCTGTTTGGTATAAATTATATGTAGATGTCACAGTGGCACTTTGTGCTGAGGCCAAAATTGTAATACAGAACAAGGGCAGCATGCATCGGGTAAACTTTGTCATAGTTGTTAATAACTTTTTATATTCTGCAAATTGCAATTGATTTATGCGTAGATGTACCTGCATTTTATAGGCTTATTTTGTGGCCGGCATCAATTGATGAGAGTACAGTCTCTTAGAATAAAGGATTCAAGAAAGATGATTTTGTGAAAACAAGAAGGAGAGGAAGAGAAGAGAGAGAAATTGTGAGTTAGTTGAGTGTAATTAACTTTCTAATTGACTGAATTATTGTTGCTACATTCTGATTACAAACATAATGACAATTTATATAGGCAAAGTGCCTAGGCCCAAATACACATGTTAAAAGCCTAAATATAACTGAACAAGAATTATACAACTAACACACCCCCTAATTCATGTTCTTGAGACTTCTCATCCCGATGCCTTTCTTTAACTCTTCGAACCTCACTTTCTTCAGAGGTTTGGTGAATATGTCAGCTAGTTGCACTTCTGTCTTGCAATGTTTTATTTCGAGCTTCCCTTTGTTGACTTGATCCCTCAGAAAATGATACCTTCTTTCAATGTGTTTACTCCGACCATGACACACTGGGTGATTCGTAAGGTTTACAGCATACTTGTTATCAACAAACAGCTTCATCTTCGATTCCATTATTCTAATTTCTTCAAGTAGCATTTCGATCAATGCTGCTTGGCATGCAGCATATGATGCAGTCACATATTCTGCTTCGCATGATGACAAGGCCACAATGCTTTACTTCCTCGAACTCCAGGAGATTGAAGCTCCTTCGATCATGAAAATGTATCTTGCAGTACTCTTCTTTTCGTCTTGATCTCCACTAAAATCTGAGTCAGTGTATCCATGAACTTCGACATCTGTGATGTTCTTCGATTTCTTTGGTAACAACACACCATGATCAATAGTTCCCTTTATATATCTCAACACCCTCTTTACTGCGATGAGATAACATTCTTGAGGCTTCTCCATAAATCTGCTCATCAATCCTACACTTTGGCAGATATCTGGTCTAGCATTGTAAAAATACCTCAAGGATCCAATGATTTGTTTGTAAAGGGTCGAACTTACGAACTCATCATTCGATTCCTTTTTCAGCTTTGCTCCAGTCTCTGATGGAGTAACAACTGCCTTATAGTTGCTCATATTGAACCTCTTCAGTATATCTTGAGCTTACTTTGTTTGATGCAAGAAAACTCCTTCTTCGATGTCTTTGAATTCCATTCTCAGGAAATAGGAGAGATTCCCTAAATCAGATATTTCGAATTCATGCATTAACTTCGACTTTACCTTCATTATCTCAGCTTCGTTTGCTCCTGTAATGAGTAAGTCATCAACATACATGTATAAGATGATTCGATTGACACTTTCGACATCATTTACATACACTCCATGTTCAGAGACACACTTTGTGAAACATGCTTCGATTAGGAAGCTATCTATCCTTTTATTCCAAGCTCTAGGAGCTTGCTTCAAGCCATAGAGAGCCTTCCTTAATCTGTAAACTTTCGGCTTCACACCAATTTGAATTGCTCAAGGCTTCCCTCAAATCAATTGGTTCTGCTTTAGCCATCATGGCTTCTTCGATTAAGTCACCATCTGTATCGATTGCTCGATCTGGAATCTCTCATATCCAATCAGCCTAGTCGACTCAGTTCTTGTTCTTGTGGATCTTCTTTCATTCTGCATAGGTGGTTCTTCATTTCGACCAGTCGAAGTATCACCTTGTTCATTTCAACTTATCGAAGCTTCGTTCTATTCATCTTCTTCGAACACAATTGTGACTGTCTGATTCTTGTCGAACTGAACTTCGACTCCAATCCCACCCTTTGCTTTCGTCTACAAGAACATCTCTACTTAACACTAGTTTATCTTTGATTGGTGAATACAACTTGTATGCACCAGTCAAATGATAACCTATGAGTATCATGACTTCACTTCGATCATCCAGCTTCTTTCTCAATTGTTCAGGTACATGCCTGAAACATATTGATCCAAAAACTCTAAGATGACCTACATTTGGCTTCGACCCTGTCCAAGCCTCATGCGGTGTCTTTTCGACCATCTTCTTTGTTGGACATCTATTTAGAATGTATACTGTTGTCGAAACTGCTTTAGCCCAAAATCTCTTAGGCAAATTCTTAGCTTTCAACATACATCTCGTCATGTTCAGTACACTTCTATTCTTTCTCTCAGCTATGCCATTCTGATGAAGCGTATAGGATGCAATAACCTCATGCTCTATACCTTCCTCATTGCAAAATCTAGTAAATTCAGTAGAAGTATATCACCACCACCATCAGTTTTTAACTTCTTCAATTTGCAGCCACTTTATTTCTCAGCATGCAACTTGAACTTCTTGAACTGTGTGAATACCTCACTTTTCCTTTTAATAAGGTAAATCCACATATGTATGGTTAATTCATCAATGAAAGTAAGGAAATACATGTTACCCCCATTCGACTTTACTTCAAAGGGCCCACACACATATGAATGAACCAGCTCCAGTTTTTGCCTTGACCTTATAGAAAAGTCACGTTTGAATGCCTTCCTTGCCTGTTTAGCTTTGTAGCATTCCTCACATATCTGATTTGGTTCCTTCACATACGGTAACGCAAGCACCATTCTTTTCTGATTGAGCATACATAAACTCTTGAAGTTTAGATGTCCATACCTGTAATGCCATAGTCAGTTCTTGTCTTCTTCTGTAGTTGAAGTAAGACATTTGTGATCTGATGTGTTGAGTTCAATCTTGAACATTTTATTCTTCCCAAATGGTGCTTTCATTATTAGCCTCCCATCAGCCCTCTATACCTTCATCTGATTATTCTCCAACTTCATATTGAAGCCTTTTGCAAGTAATTGACATACACTTATCAAGTTACTTGTCATCGAAGGTACATATAGAACTTCAGTGATAGTAGCCTTTCAACCATCCTTTCTGATAATCGAAATATCTCTTTTACCACCTGATTTGATATGCCTGCCATCTGCAAACTTTATCACTTTTTCGATTGATTCATCTAACTTGGTAAACCAGTTTTTATTGCCAGTCATGTGGTTGCTACATTCTGAATCCATATACCACATGTTGTTTTTCTCAGTAGTCGACTAAGTGTTCACCAACAATAACACATCATCAGAATCACTATCTCCAGCTCGTGCATATTGAGCTCCATCACTATCTTTCGACCTTGCAACTTTCTTTCTTCGACATTCTCTAGCATAGTGGCCAAAACCTTGACAATTGTAACATTGCACCTCTTTCGTGTCAACTTTCTTCCCAAAATACTTGTTGCCCACACCTTTCGAATCAGTATTCTTGCTTGACTTCTCATCACCAACAAGATTCTTTCGCTGCTTTGACTTCTCTTTTCCAGCTTTCTTGCTGAATCTTGATTGCAATGTTTGTTCAACTGCCTTCTCTCTTTATGAGTTTCTCTATTGCATCCTCATTTCGTGAGCCTCCAATGAAGCTTGAAGTTATTCCAACTTTATCTCAGATAAATTCTTGGCCTCTTCAATTGTCACAACGAAGTAATCGAAATCTGCAATTAAAGATCTCAATACCTTTTCTATCTTTTGCAGATCCGTAAACGCTTCACCACATGCCTTCATCTGGTTTGTTATCGTTACAACTCTTGATAAATATGCAGAAATAGATTCATCCTCTTTCATCTTAAGCATCTCGTATTGCTTCCTCAGTGTCTGTAACTTCACCTTCTTCAGTTGCTCATCTCCACCATACAAGGATTTCAGTTTTTCCCAAGCTCCTTTTGTTGTTTCTTCTTCAGTTATCCACTCGAATACTTCACAATCCACACACTGGTGAATCAAGAACAGTGTCTTGCCATCTTTCTTCCTCTGATCTTTGTGCGCAACTTTCTGGGCTTCCGTAGCATCTACTTCCAATTCTGATATTCCATCATTCAATATTTCTACGATATCTTGAAATATGAAAATAACCTTCATTTGCGCAATCCACCGTTGATAGTTTTCACCTTTGAGAACCGGTAGATTCGCTGGAAGCTGTGTTGATGTTGTTGATCCGTTTTCCATTAGATTCTCTCTGAATCGCAAACAAACTCTTGATACCAATTTGTTGGAACAAAGGATTAAAGAAAGATGATTTTGTGAAAACAAGAAGGAGAGGAAGAGAAGAGAGAGAAATTATGAGTTAGTTAAGCGTAACTAACTTTCTAACTGACTGTATTATTATTGCTACATTTTGATTACAAACATAATGACCCTTTATATAGACAAATTGTCCAGGTCCAAATACACATGCTAAAAGCTCAAATATAACTGAACAAGAATTATACAACTAACACAGTCAAAACTCATACTATGAATTACACACAATACATGTCATTGTCACTTCTTGTATATTTGTCTTTTAAATTTTGAAATCAAATCCATGAGGTTAGGATAATGTGGCAACAATAAACCAATGGTAGAGATTCATGAAAATTTTCAAATTTTTTTATAATCTCAATTCGCTTGTATGTTCTACTTCATAGTTTCTAATTTTAACTTTTTATAACCATGATCTGTTGTACGAATGAGGAAAAAAAAATTAAGGGACATAAAAAGCATTAGCAAATCAAATTGCACATTTATTTTTCTATGCATACAAAAAAGAAGAATGGAAAATTGATATTAACATAGTAGCTCTCCAAGACAATTACGGGCTACATAAATAATTCCTCTATTTATTTTATTATGTTATATTCTGTATTAGAACACGGAAGGTATGAGATGTAGAAGATGATCACCATAAAAATATGTTGGATACGATATTTGGGGTCTCCAGTGATCAAAGAGATTATATATATAAAACTAACACTCTAACATTTAACTTAATTAGTTACTCACACGATCACATGATATGGACGTAGACACAAAGGATCCGGGTGACATCTCCGAAGAAAGGGAGCCATATCCAAAAAGGGGTGTTCAAACTAACAAAGGGGCGTCTAGAAAGAACGATATGAAAAGTGTATGCCTTCACCACACTCTACGACCCTTT